GCTCAAAATGACCACCATTAACTTCAATGCAAGTTCTAGCTCGTTGAATTATGTTGTGTTGTGTATTATGTAACATCTCAGGAGTAACTGTAGCGTAGGCTTCGTGCAGTCTCTCTTCCAGTTCTTCTAACATATCTAGGGGTTCTCTATATACGTAATTTTTAATTTGATTCCAAAAAAAAGTCCAAAGCAGAAAGGTCTAGAGATCTAGGAGGCCAGATATTAGTACTGCCACGCCCAATCCACCTATGACGATACTCTTTTCAATGTTCGTCGTACAAGTATCGAATTATGTGGAGGAGCGCCGTCGTGCTGAAACCACATATTCCGCCGTACATTCAAAGGAACGTCTTCCAACAATGCCGGAAGCTCTAGTCGTAGAAAATTAGCATATGCATCCCCATTAAGGCGATCAGGTAATCTGATAATTTTATCAGATGCATTAAAATTTTTACCACAGTAGTACCAATGATTCCAGCCCATAGATTAATAGTAAATCGCTCCTGATATGCTCTCACCCTAGTGAGATGTGGATTTTCGTGTGCCCAGAAATGCCAATTGTGTGCATTAAACATTCCTTCTCGGGAAAATGAACATTCGTCGGTGAAAAGAATGCGCCGTGTAAAATCAGGATTTAGTTCATTTTGTCGCAGTAACCATTGAGCAAAATGTACTCGTCGCGGGTAGTCGGTTGGTCGCAGATGCTGCACTCTCGTGTAATGGTAAGGATGCAGTCTTCTCTCTTGAAGGATACGATGAGTGGTCGATCTTGAACATCCACTAATTTGCGCTACGTAGAGGACACTTCTCCTAGGATCCGCTTCCATGTTTCCTAACACTTGCTCTTCAGCACCTACACGTACATTCCGTGGAGCCCCAGCACGGCCTTTCCGACTAGGTTGAAAAGATCTTCTCTTGCTCGATGTAACAATCGGTGAAACACATGTTGGTCTGGGTGCCGAAGATTATTCACGGGGCTCTAAGAAAATGACTTCTAATACCTGCTCTTCGGTAGCTACTCTATGTAGAATAGTAATAAATGTATTATTTGCCTACGATGAAATGAAACAGCTTCTCTTATGACATGTACAGCCCAGTTAAACACAATTTAACTAGAATGGCAGCAGAAATAACTTCTGTCCCATGCTACTTGCCTTAAAGTAAACCTTGACGTCTCTGTGTACATTAATCAGTCATCTTTGGCGCAGAAGCGTCTCTTCAGGTCAGTGATAAACTTCGTGACAGTTTATGACAAACAATTGTCAAAATGATTAAATTTATAACCACACTTCTGTTTCCTTTTGTTGACGGAGGGGGATTCGGAAAAAATTCATTCAACTTTAGTATTACCCGATTTTTTGTTCTTGGCATAGGTAACTTTGAACATAGAAACGTTCGGATATAAAAGCAGCCTCTCTATTGGTCAACTTAATCGCCTTCCAGTTCTCACACGGTTAAAGCCTGGACAATTCTTTTTGCGAATTACGGCACAGTTCGGGACAGGGAACATGTCATTCACGGGAATGGCGCGAATTCTGGGACACCCTGTATAAGCAAATCTAAAAAATATTAATGCAGTGATAAATCACAAGTATAGACTCATCAGTCATCACACTTTGTACGTTTTAGATAGGATTTATTCAGCAAAATTTTAGGGTGACATCAATTTTTTAGGGGGGGATGGGCAAATATATTTTGATCAAAAATTTACCATGCCTATGATAACCTTGAAACATCTCCAAGATTTTTTTGCAGTTCCTGATTAAATCAATAAAATAAATTCAGACATTCATTAATTTTTTTGAGTCGCCCTGTATTTGCAAATCCAAAAAATATCAATGGGATGATAAATCGCAAGTACAGACTCAACATATTTTGTATATTTTAGATAGGATTTATTCGGCAAATTTTTGAGCTGACGTCATCAATTTTTTGGAGGGGAAAAGTAAATATATTTTAATCAAAAATTTATGATTCTTATCATAACTGTAAACAATCTGCAAAATTTCAAAGCACTCAGTTTTGCAGATTCAAAATTAAATTGCAATATCATGTTTCATAATTTTGATTTTTTTTTCAAAAAATCTGGACGTTTCGGGCAAAAACTCAATTCGGAGTCATAAACTACATGTGTAGGACTATGTTATTTTTTACAATTTAGAACCCATTTACTATTTACAATTTTTGAAGTGACGTCATCACATTATTGGTGGGGATGATTAGATAAATTTTGGTTAGCGTTTTACCATCTATGATATTCCTAATATAAGTACAAAGTTTCACAACAATCGGTCCAGTACTTTCGGATATTATCTGTGTAATAAAAATACGGGACGGCAGACAGACGGACGGACAGATAGACAGACGGAAGCGGGAGACCTATTTCTTCGTACTGTAGTGGTTGTTGAAGGTCGAGAAAACGTAAAAGTAGAGAGTCGGTCGACGGACTCGATTACAATACTTCCTTCACTTACGCTCGGGAAGTAAAAAGTCGACATGTCGAGATTAAACTCGACATGTTAAGTTTAAACTCGACATGTCGAGTTTTTTCTCGACATGTCGTGTTTTTTCTCAATATGTCGAGTTTAATCTCGACATGTCGAGTTTTGTCTTGACATGTCGCGTTTTTTCTCGACATGTCGAGTTTAATCTCGACATGTCGAGTTTAATCTCGACATGTCGAGTTTTTTCTCAACATGTTGAGTTTAATCTCGACATGTCGAGTTTTTTCCAAAAAAAAATTCCACCTGACCATTCTACGCTTCCGTAGTTTCATAGCACTAGAAACGTGAAAAAAGTGTCATATCATAACGTTTCATTTTTTCACGCATTTAAATGAAAAAATGTGTCGTAGCGTGTCATTTTTGACGGAAGACATTTAAACGCAAAACATAGAAGCCTGCTGTTGCTACGGCAGTTGCATCTGTCAGAATTTAAAATGCATCCAAAAATTTTGTAATTTAATCCTTATTTAAGTGTTTTGTTTTGTGGTAATTTGTGTGCTCGCACAGTGGAATCGCACAACGATGAAGATTTCTCGTGCACCCCTGAAGAAATTGTTAAGACGGCAAATACGGCTACATTGAATCTAGGTCAATATTTAAAGGATTACGACTTATTTATGAAATGCCACAGTCTTACTGAAGAAGTTTTATTAGTCTACTGTGAAGACAATTCAAAAGAGTGGAAGTCGTCAACACTTTGGTCGACTTACTCTAAATTAAAGTCTACGGTATTAATAGATAACAATCTCAATATAAATAAATACTCAAAACTAATCGCTTATTTAAAAAATAAGCGGGTTGGTTACAAACCTGGAAAATCAAAAACATCATAGGCAGTAGAGCAATACCACCAATACTCTTACGGTCCTCCTCTGATGATCGATGCAAGGATCTGAGGTAGAAAAAAGTGCTATACTTTGGCATTAGATATACTTATCTGCCTTTGGGGGCGATGTGGTCGGAGGTGGGGAAAGCCGGGGTTGGCCCTGCTGGGGCGTTTGCGACTTTGTGAGGCTTCTTCGTCGAACTCGTAGTCGACGGCTTCTCACACTAAGGGGTTGGGATATTCTTCAGCTTTCTCGGAGGTTCGGAGTGTAAGAACTGAGAACTGGGTATTCCCAATAAAAATAAGAAAGCAGCGGGTGAGCGTGTGGTGCCTGATGCATCCTTTTTCTTCGATCTCCTTGGAATGGATCCAACGGAAGTATATCACTCTGTTTTAAAAAATTGAGAAAATACAGCTATAATTTTGTTACTGATACGCACACGTTTGAACATAATAATCGTTATTTTTATTGGCGGTTTAATTTATTATTTATTTCACTAGCAGCCATGAAGCATGCAAATGTCGACTCATTTAGAGATAGCAAATTAAACTTTTGCGACCAAAATAATATTGAGTCAAAAAATTTAACGTTAATTTTTTCAGTTTATTGTCTTATGGTTTCTACTAGTGAAAAAAATAGCAAAGTTCAACTTTTGCGCCCAAGGTTCAAAAAGAAAATTGAGGTTATGTACGAAACACTTGATTTCAAGGTATTTATTAGAGTTTTAAATACCTTGCTTGATTTGATGTAACTATTTCTTAAAGTGAATAAATGTATGCAACTACCATTACTTCAGTACATGCATGGTATTTGGTAGATGGTGGGAGAAAACATTAACAGAGATAATGGAGATACGACAGCTAGCAAAATTCTACAAACTTCAGCGACGATATTTTTCTTTCTCTGAAAATAGACTAAAAGCACATTTTCTGAGGTCCCAGCGACCTGTTTCTTTGAACACCGGTCTTTGTACGTACTCTGCATAAACCTTCATATAAACGTTTTTGGATTATTTTTGCGACAATAGCTTTTCCTGCAAATTTTGCACCTCCCCCCTTAATTCTGGAGACGTGAGTTGTTCAATTTCGATCACGTTCTGTTCTGCAGGTACTATTCACAAGAAAATTCGTGAAATGCTGCTGTCATAAAAAATTTTCAAATGTCAAACAACAACACTTCACCAGCGACTACTATGATGTAAATTTTTGTGAACTTAAACATTTTTCGTCAAAAATCGAAGGTTCATTTTTTCAGTTTATTGTCTTTTACAGTTTTTACTTTCCTTCATGCCTGCTAATGAAAAAAAGTATTTATTTAATACCTAATTTTTCTTTAATATTTGTATTTATTAAATTTTAGTTTTTCATATTTTTTTCCAAATAAACCTTAGGTGATAGCAAAAAATGAAGTTCATATTTGTAATTAATGTAATTAGATAGCAATACAACAAATATGCAAAACAGCTCTTAACACAAAGACAGGTTTTTAACACTTATATTTTGCAGGTCTGTGTAATAATTAATCGCGGTGATTTACAGATGCGGTTGACAAAAATGATACCTTGGTATCAATAAATTGGTACGAAAGGATCAAAGCCATTCTATGCATTAGCACTATAACTATGTATTTTAAAATATGGATTATAATTGGTAATAAATATTTTGACAAGTTTTCATAGTTAGGAAATTTTATTAATAATAACATTTTTTCTTTTGTGCGCTGGAAGTCTGAGGGGAGGCCGGGAGGGAGAGGGGAGGTAGCGTGGGAAGCGTGAATTAATTTTCTTTCCGAAAAATGGGCGGTGAGCCGGTTAAGTTTGGGAACCACTGCGTCTACGTAGTCATACTCATATCTCGAGAAGTTTCGGAAGTACAAAGTTTTATTGGAAAGCTGTTGATATTTAGATCTTATCAAATAATTGCTATATTCAAGTACAATACCTTATCTATTTTTGTATTTAAAACTCATAGTTCTCTCTCAAATGATTTGCTCGATTAAAATCACTAAAAACAATGCATTAAATTAAACGCATTTATGTTGATTCAGAATCTCTTGTTTTACCAAAAATATATAAGTAATGCATAAATGTTAAGTTATTATTACACCTTTGCGAAATCATAAACACGCGAATCTTGTTACAAACAATTATATTGTTCCTGCGGATTTTTAGATAAATAAAATACGCTACTCATAAAATAAGATTACTGAGAAATTAAAACTTTCCATGTTTAGACATGGTAACAAAGAATAGTAATATTGCTTCATGATTATCTCCAAATGTATTTTTTTCATACAACTACATCATATGAGTGATTCTGCAATATGTTTATGAACAGCAATCAAATCAGACCATACCGTCATATGCTTCATAACTTTCCAGAGAAATAACATACATATTACACCAGCACACTGCACAGTAAGTTCTTTATCTTGTCATGTGATTCATACAGTTGACCCCAGTGTACGAATGTGATACAGTTCAATATAATTTTAGAAATTTAATATTAAAAAAAGGACTATTGAACCGACTATCAACGTCGCATCTATTACATCATTCTTTTAATTCATAGGAATCATGCTGCATTCGAATACAGGGGTAAAACTTTTTTTTAATTTGTAAAGTTATTCACAGTGAACTTCCCTTGCCTCAGGAGCATGATCAGTACTATTGTACTAGTTGCATGTCGAGATGTACGCATCAGTAAAAATTTATGAAATAGTTTTTAGATGTGTCATTGATGTGTGGGTAAATATGTACATTCATTATGGTATGTATGCCTGCTAATACTATGTTATACCGCCTGTCTGGAAAATGGCGGATTAACTCTTCAGTACGTTATATAATAAAACAATTCTTTATGATGTATTGTCTTTGCCATTTCTATTGAAACACCACCTGTAGATTTTGCTTAAAATTTAGCAATTGGTAACAGCTTTCGGTTGATTGACAACGGCTTTTAGTTAGAAAATTGTCTGAAGATGAACGTTGCCAAATTTACGTTCAACAAGTGGTGTTTCAGTAGAAATGGCAAAGACTATACATTACGAAAAAAACGTAATTTTATTAAAGTAAAATTGGCAACACTGCACACCCCTAATGCTTGAATACGTCCAGCTTACTTTCTGGTTCCTTAGTAACGATGGTGACTGAAATCCACCTTCGCTTTATATCAGGAAAACATTGTTGTCAAATGGAATTTTATCAAATTATTACAAAAACAACACAGCCATATCTTTGTGCAATCTAACTGAAATGGTAATTAAACATGGTCATGGGCGAGAAAAATATTAACTGAAAGTTTTATTACTAGTTATTGTGATAATGAATGAGCTGTTTAGTTGTTAAACGTAGCAAAAGAACCAATTTTAAAATCATTATAACTCCACCAAAATGTGAGAAGGATTTTTTTTACTATTTTTCCCAGACTCACCAGTTGATTGTTAAGAGCGTAGCGGAGAGTTAATCCGCCATTTTCCAGACACTCGGTATAATGTGCTTCGAAAATTTCAGGAAAATATACGTAAAATTGACCCCTAGAGCTATATTTATATTATTTTCGCTAACTAATAAAAAAATAAGTTGGAGTATTTTGGAACACAAAAAAATACAAATTATAATTATAATATTTTTATTTTTCTTCAAGAGCTGTCATTGTCACACTACGATTACTTTTGGTTTCCCCACGGCTTGTGTTTGTGTTCTTCTCTTTTACCAAAAAATAATATATCCTACTTTTCAGAAATAACTTTGGAATTTTATGTAGAATATTGTAGCATGCCGAAATGTTTTTCAAAGGATGTACATTTTGCTCTACTAAATACATGAAATTTACTAAATTTAAACTACTGAAACAATTTTAACGAGGGGTAATCCAAGGGAGGTAAGGTACTGCATCACAATTATTTCCAAATTTTTCGTTTATCTGTCGCATTGAAAATATTGTTTTTGCACTCATGACCTTTTTTGATAGCTTTTGCGCATTCACCAGAGTGCGGGAGGTCGAATTTCCCGCACACGTGCATTTAACTTCCCGTTGCCATGGTAACCTTAAAATACTCGAGTAGTGTCAACATTGTGACGTGTTGACGGCGCTGTCAATGGCGTTGTTTATAAATAACTCACAGTTAATCTCTTCAGTTTAAAGGTTTATTCGTCGCAAAAAATATTGTACACAACACGTTCGTGAGCCTGCTTCCCGCATTCACGCAAATGCGGCACTCCCTTCGGTCGTGCCTCAAACAAGCGTTCATGCGGGAAGCAGGCTATCCCGAACTAGTTGCGTAAATTACTATTTGCACTCATGACCTCTTTTGATGGCTTTCGCGCATTCACCAGGGTGCGGGAGTTCGAACTTCCCACACACGTGCATTTTAACTTTCCGTTGGCATGGTAATCTTAAAATACTCGGGTAGTGTCAACATCGTGACGTGTTGACGGCGCTGTCAAAGCTGTTATTGATAAATAACTCACAGTTAATCTCTTCAGCTGTGCTCTTCAGTTTAAAGGTTTATTCGTTGCAAAATAGTAATTTACACAACTAGTTCGGGAAGGCCTGCTTCCCGCATGAACGCTTGTTTGCGGCACGACCGAAGGGAGTGCCGCATTTGCGTGAATGCGGGAAGCAGGCTCACGAACGTGTTGTGTACAATATTTTTTGCAACGAATAAACCTTTAAACTGAAGAAATTAACTGTGAGTTATTTATAAACAATGGCGCCGTCAACACATCACAATGTTGACACTACGCGAGTATTTTAAGGTTACCATTGCAACGGGAAGTTAAAATGCACGTGTGCGGGAAGTTCGAACTCCCGCACCCTGGTGAATGCACGAAAGCCATCAAAAAAGATCATGAGTGCAAAAAATATTTTACACAACACGTTCCCTTCGGTCATGCCGCAAACAAGCGTTCATTTGCGAAGGAGGCTATCCCGAACTAGTTGTGTGAATTACTATTAATATAATTTGTACAAAGTGAAAAATATTATTGTATTTAAAGCATGAACTCTTCATATATTCTAATATTCTTTAGAGATTTCCATCCATTGTCGTTATTTTCTCTCCCAAACTTTTTGGTTTTCTTGTTCTTTTATTTCCTAATAATGCTCCTTACGAAACTGGGCGAAATGCCGAAACTATTTTCAAAATTGGTCTGAACCCTGGAAACGTATTTCTGTAGTCGTAGGTATCTTCTATCGTTATCAAAATTTTAAATGTAAATGCAGCTTTACTGTCATTGCGATTGATGCTTTATAAAAAAAAAGTCAAATTAATTTTGTCATGACTTTTTATAAAACAAGGCAGCCGTATCAAGTTTTAATAAATTAATAGAGTAATAGCTCTTACTGAAAATGGAATGTCTCAACGGCAAGTCTTTCTAGCTTTCGGCATTCCAAAAAATACTGTAAATTTTATCATACAGAAGTAAAGACGGTAACAAACTGTAGAACGTTTGCATCGTCTAGGCTCACGTGGACATCGTGTTTCTCCATGTAATGAAGACGAAGCTTTAATTAACATTATTAGACAGATTCCTTTTACCAGCGCTGTTCACGCAACATAAATTAGCTACTTTCAATTTTTCTGGCAGTTTCCAAACTGTTTGGCTCGAAAATTGAAGACAACTTCTCAACATAAAGAAGCAAGGGTTTCGCACTGTACCATTTGGTACACTACCAAGAGTTCTGGAGTACAGTAATGTTCTCTGATGAAAAGACATTCCAGTTGTGTTCAAATGATAGAGTATGGGTAGACAAGCCACAAAATACCCTGTATGAAGAAAAATACGTAGACACTACTGAGCGACGTCGTTTCACCATAAATGCGGGGGCATGAGTTTCCACAGTAAGCCCTAGGGTAATGCTGTGCATGCAAGGTTGGCTAAACAGCGACGTTTACATTAATAGTCTCACTATGCTCCCTTCTGCGACAAAAGTCTTTTCAAATCAAAATTTTATATTTCAGCAGAATATCTGCACTGTATGTACACTATACATACAACGTGTTACAGAAAAAAGTACATTAAATTTAACCACGAACAGAACTCGTCAACAGAAAACATTTTTCTATTTGGCATTTTTTCAAAAACCGGCCATGCATTTCTTCAGTTGTTGACCCTGAATTTTACTTTCGATGCATCAGGTGGAAAGTGTTTGTTTTTACACAATTTTTTGGCGAGTTGGCTAGCGATAACGTTTTATCAGCTTCCAAACAGTTAGTTGCTTTTCGACTTTTCTTTGCGGTGTTTTCACTTTTCGTTGTGTGAAGTTATGCCCCGCTATTCGAACAGTGAATACACGTGGTGCTAGTGTATGGAGAAGCCCAGGGGAATGCAGTGCAAGCATAAAGAATTTTGTTACTCTTGAAATTTTGCGGGAATTATGTTACAAAGAGTTAAAGACTTCGTTGCCGTCTTTAATGTTGTCTAGACAATAATGGTGGCCACTTTGAACGTTTATTATGAAGTTTTTGGCGATTTCAAGGTAGATCTCCATTACCTATTACGGCCCTGCATTCAAATGTTTACATTTTTTGTTCCGTGTTGTGTTCATTTCTTATCCCTCTCCTCCTCTGGTACTTTTTTTAACAACCGGAACTACACATACAAAAATGAAAGGAATGCGATACATTTAAATATGCATCTATTTACATACACATACGTAAACATATTTTTTTCGTTCTACTCTCTACTTGAAAATTTATTTATTGCAGTTAACAGTAGCGTGTTTGACTTATAATGGTGGTTTGGATTAAGTTATTAAAGTTTTACTAGGTACATACATATCAACTGAGCTTACAGTACTGAGTTCAACATTTCTTGAATACGTTGAACTACATGTTTTAAAGTTTTTAAATTTTTAACACGTGTTCTGCACATAATGTCTTTAACACGGCCGCAAAAGAAAAAAATGTTGAGGAAAATGTTGTCCAATATACTTTCCACGTTGTTTTCTAACAAATCAGAAAAATGTTTAAATGGTTCGGAATGACAAATAACAGTAATCTTTTCTTATGCTAACAGCACCCTAAGCAGCTAGTAAGTACTCCTTTAACAATACAGTAATGGCTAAATAATATTAATAAACCTGCAATTTACGAAATTCCTTAGTTAAAATATTTAGGCATAGACATTATATATCATATTTTATGAACCGCCGAAGAGAAAGTGTCGACGACCATAAGATAGTAAGTTGTTTATGGTTTAAGGAACGTTTCTATTATCAGGGTACTTAAGTTTTACATTACAATATTGTTATACAATTGTGAGTACGGATTCATAAATTACACTTGTAACGGTAGATATAACCACGAGTGCAGGAATATCTTATTTTACAAAATTTAAATAATATTTACTATTGTAAATTTTTGGAGATGATGTCATACCATTGTTGGTGGGGATGATCAGACAATTTTTGGTTAGCGTCAGACAGATAGACAGACAGACAGAGAATAGACAGATAAAAACGGGAGATCTACTTTTTGTACTCTCAAGAAAACCTGAAAGCACCGGTTCGTCGGATGGATCAAATTTTAATATCTACTTCCTTCGCTTACGCTCAGGTACTAAGAATTTATAATATAACAATTTTACGTTTATTTGTAGAAACAAACGAATGTGTATTGATGTTCAGAAAACAGTTTCATTGTTACCCATCCTACATCAAAATCAGAAATAACGGCGAATTGTTTAAGTGGTTATATTCTGTACGTGAAACAACATGACATGATGGAAATGTACCACAAAAAATTGTTAAAGTTCAACACTCATAAAAATACTTATTAACCAAACGTTCATGTGATAAAACCGACAAAGATCCACTTATCTGCCCAAGTCACATCTACATAAAGATTACTATCAATTTCAAACATCCTTACAAAGATCAAGATCATTGATCTATAATTTGAAAGAGGTGATTAAATACACTCAACTAAGCATTTCTACCGAGGCTTGTTTTACTTATTGAATAAATGAATTGTATTTTTATCGCGTAGTGTTCAATGACGTTTTATCAGTAAATACAACGTAACTGTAATTGAGAAATTCTTTCGATTATAGTTAATCAAAAATCTTGTGATCTGTGTTACCCCACCACTACCGCGTTACAAATACATGAAGGTATATAAGTACATGCTTATGGAAAGCGCACAGTTTAAGTTCTAGTGTTGCTACCTGAACACTGTTCAGTACGTTTCTATAAACAGATATATTGTATAAGTGTCAATAAAATGGGCAGCAGTCAGTCAGCATTAAATTTTGGGGCTGGTCCCGCCAAGCTCCCGAGGGAGGTATGTACTAATTAAAAATGTGTGAAGCGATTAGTTTTTTTCCGTTGTATTATCACATAAAAATGAGTAATCATTACACCCTATTTTACACGCGAATAATGGGTAATATTCTAAACGCAACAATAAAAAAACGATTTAATTAACCTTGGCAAATTGATGGAAAACAAACGTTGATACTCAAACCTGATTGTTCCGCTGCAAACAAGAAGTGAATGGACGGCCGATGCCTGTGTCGTTCAGTAGCATAAAAGTTATAATTTTAAATTTACGTAACAAATTAAGCAGCCTCAGTGCAGTTACTAAAGGTTTATTGTTATCGCACATTATTTAGAAATTCCATTAAAAACTGTAGATTGATCAACAAATAGTGGAAACTATTGAAAAGTCTTATTTTCATTACACATTTTTGCACAGTAAAAATTTTCTACTTACTTAAATTTATCACGCAAAGATTTACTCAAATCGTCTATACTATAAACTTCAAATAAGTATTATACAACTGACAGACATCGTTTAATGTAATATTTTCCAATTTCAGGTCTTAGAAGAAGTTCAGAAAGAGCTCTTATCTTTCGGAGAAAGCGGCATGAGTTTGATGGAAATGAGCCATCGTTCTAAAGAATACTCAAAAATCAACAACGACGCGCAAAAAGCGGTTAGAGAATTACTGTAATCAATCCACCTTAAAAATGCAAATAAAAAATCTAAAACTCGTTCTTTCAGGCATGTACCAGATAATTACAAAATTCTTTTTATACAAGGTGGAGGAACGGGTGCCTTTGCTGCAGTGGCTATGAACCTTATAAATAGAACAGGTTCTGCAGATTATGCAGTAACGGGTACCTGGTCTGGTAAAGCTGCAAAAGAAGCAGCCAAGTATGGAAAAGTTAACTTGGTATTCCCTAAAGCCGATAAGCCGGGAAGCATTCCGGCAGAATCTACTTGGACATTGAATCCCGACGCTGCGTATTTGTATTATTGCGATAATGAAACGGTTGATGGTAGGTCAGTAAAAATTTCTAAGATACGATTTTTCATTTCATTGCTTTACAGGGGTTGAATTTCCATATATTCCTAACGCTAATGGAATTCCAATTGTTAGTGATATGTCGTCCAGTATTATGACCAAACGTGTAGATATTACAAAGGTGCTTATTTTTTTTTAATTAACTAATTCCAGCTAATTTTTGGAATTGCAGTTCGGTTGCATCATAGCCGGGGCACAAAAAAATATTGGTCCAGCCGGAGTTACCGTAGTTATAATCAGAGAAGATCTTTTAGGAAATCCAATGAAGATTTGCCCATCTGTATTTGACTTTACACACATAAATAAAGAAAATTCCGTCCACAATACCCCGGCAACATTTTCGTAAGTATAATGTTGTCATGTAAAGAGTAGCTCTAAAATCATTTCATGTTATTAACCAGGGTTTATGTAATGGAGAAAGTCTTACAATGGATTAAGAAAAACGGTGGTGTCGAGGCAATGGAAGCCCAATCTTCACAAAAAAAGACTCTCTTATATGATGCTATTCTTCATTCCAATAATTTCTACAGTTGTCCTATTGATGAAGATGTCAGAAGTAGAATTAATGTGCCTTTTAGAGTTGGTGGACCTCAGGGAAATGAAGACTTAGAAACAAAATTCTTACAAGAGGCCGAAAAGCTAAAAATGTTCCAACTGAAAGGTCACAGATCAGTTGGAGGAATGAGGGCATCCTTGTATAATGCAGTAACTAGTGATGATGTTAATTTATTAGTGAAATTCATGAATGAATTCAGAAAACAATATGGATAAAAAAATTCGGTTTATAGATTATTTAATTTTGTATTTATTTTATTTGTACTTATAAGTTAAAAATTAATAGACATAATAACAATAAATTCACATGTTTTATTTGTATGAAATTCTGTGTTATGATTTTTAAGATATAATGAGTCATGAAGATCATCGAAAAAACGACGCAGAAACAGGCAAATAATACAACCTAATTATTCTGTTATTTTCAAAGGTTCGCATTCGTTATCTACGGAGTTTTAAAAGAGGACGTAACCTATTGTTCACCGCTTAATTGAAAAACGTATGTGTTTGAAGGTCAAAAGTCAATCTAGATAACAAACACATTGTCATAATTTTCAAATAATTCCACTCCGTTGTCAACAAGATAGATTAATAACTTGATTATTGGATGTTGTTTACCACTTGATCAATAATAATCAACCAACAGCAAGATGGTAAATTGAAGTAGGTACCTACTAGGCCATAAGGTGGATCAAATGTGCATATTCTGCAATACATGATTCAGCAAATATTTAACACGTTCTTTAATTCGTTATTGTAGGTACATTCTCCAAGTAGGTAACGTAACAAACAGAATGAATTGTTTTGTCAATTCGACCACTAATATACAGGGTGTTGAATGCAAAAAATTTAACCGGGAACAGAACTCATTATTAGCGTAAATGTGTAATTATAATACCTTCTTCTTCGATGGAACAAAAACCATCCGCACTTCTCAAAAACGCACGCTTATTATCAGGAAAAAAAGTCGTCGCTTACATGTGTTCATGAAAAAAGCAATAATAAATACAAGAAAACCCTATTTATTCCCCAAAGGGCTCATTTATTAACAACAAAATAAATACATGTTGATCAGTAGTACCATAAGTAGTACAATAAAAACATAAAATATCGGATGGAATTACAAAAGTTTTCGCAAACTTATTAACACTCGACAAATGGTTTCACTTCAACGATGACAATAAATCACCAAATATGTATGTTGCAGTACCGCAATTCACTCACTTATAAAAATCGCTGAAAATTCCGCCCTTCTCTGTTAATGCATACTCATAGACAAACTCTCTTGCTTTGTCTATGTGCATACTTGAGTTAGCCGGGTCATTGAAACTTGTCTTCTCTCACTCATAGTCGGATTTTGACGAATTGTTTCATCCACAGCATTCACCGTGTAGTTAGTTCTTTCACTGAATTTATGGGGGTCGCGTACACTAACTCCTTTGCATGTCCCCACCAAAAAAATCACAGGGAGTTAAGTCGGGGAAACGAAAAAGCAACAGCACTTGTCCATTTTTATCAATCCACTTGCTTTCAAAATGCACATTTAACCACTGGGTAACATAAGCTTTAGCGCTTGCACACGTTCAAGGTAGTATGGGTGCAATCTTTGTTCGCAAAGGCTCCATCACACAATAAAGGTCGAAATACCCATGCTAAATGTCAATCAACGAATCGTGATATTGGGCTCTTCGACAACAACATTCAAAATGTCGGGTTCCAGCTCTAGTACCGATCTGTCCGGTGATAGCCTCGATTATAATCGGAGGTCTGAAATTTTCCGGAATCACGTACCGTCACGAGTCAAAAATTCTGGTCGTTAATGTCATTTTTTTTACACATAATTAAATAGCAGACACTAAACTGACGACCAGAATTTTTTGCTTGCGACGGTAGGTGTTGGAGCTGCTGCAATAAATTTGTGTCTATCTGGAAAGCGTCGGTTTCGGAAGCGGACACTGTATAGACATCTCGCTTCCTGCACGTTTATAATCAAATCACAACGCCCCCATTCGTTTTTGCGGCAAAAATTTGCGCGAAGTGTTTAGCCAAAAAACCTCTCTGTGTCAAAGGCTGGTCAAAACAAACAGGGGAAAAGGCCAAAAAGAAGGATTTTAGAACAAATGTTTTACGGCATAGGTTCGCATATTGACGATTTGATGAGTTTTATTACCAGTTAAATTGTTTGCATTCAATTGTATAAGAAGCTGTATATACAAATATGTAGGTATACTATTTTGCTCGATTTGATTCGAAAAAGATGTACAGATATCTACGCTGCAGAGGACACGGAATAAAGCTGACCGAAACTATTTAATCAATGTTAAAAATTATGGCCAGTGGCGGATTTACGTTTTGGGCGCTCGGGGGCACTACAATTCTGCCGCCCCTTTGACTCAACCTCAAAATATTTTAGGGGTTAAATTAAGAAACAAAAATTAAATTTATGTACTAAATTAATAAAATTCTATTTTAGGTCTTACAATATAAATCATTACAATTAAGACTAAAAACAAGCCATTAGTTCTAAAATGTCTTGCGTCTTGCTTTTTGGAAGGCGAATTGTTCAATGATATCATCGAAATCTAATGATAATAAAACTTCAGACTCGATCGTCAACACAGCAAGTGAATTTAGTCTGTCTTCAGTCATTGTGGATCTCAGATAGTTCTTCACCCTTTTTAAAGTTGAAAAAGACCTCTCAGCGCTGCAATTACTGGTTGGCGTGCATACAAACATCCGGTATGCAATATCTACGTTTGGAAACACGGAATCAAGTTCATTTTTACGAAGAAATTTCATCAAATCAATAGGTGATATGTTACCAAGATTCTTCTCGGCGCAGTGTGCTTGAAAATGAAGCATTTCATCTTCCAACGAATCCTCTAAATCTAAACTAAAAAAACTTTGCAAAGATTTTGACTTCTCGCGTACACTCTTTGCATCTAAATGTCTAAGTTCTGTAATTACAGAAAATTTTTCGTTAAATTTTTATAGCTGTCGTTTCTTTGTATTAATTTTGATTTCAAGCAATCCAAAATAATACTAAATGTTTTTATTCTGAAGCTATCTTGAGCTGTCATTTCAATCTCGTTGTTTTGGATTTCATCGAAATGCAGTTTACGTTTTTTTTTACGACTAGTTTCAGCTTCATACGTTTTCTGAATAGATATTTGAATGCTTTTTTCTTCGTAAAAATGAAATTGGTCTCGTGTATCATTTACCAACTTAATTAATCCTTGGTATAATAGATCTATAACTTCAATAATACTTGTATCGACACTTTGTACCTTTTTACTTACTGAATTAAATCGTGAAAGTAAAAAGTCCCACAAATTTTGCAAAAATGCAGTTTCTAAACATTCCATTTGAGACTTGATTCCTTCAGCTTCGCTTCGTGTACTTGCTTTTTCAAACTCGTCTTGTTCTATTTTAAGTAAACAATTATAAATTTGTGGCAAAAATTTTGTTAGGCAGCGTACAGCATCACTTCGCGCCGACCATCTCGTAACGGAAAGAGATTTTACTCTGACGTTTTGTGTGTCAGAAAATGAGTTTAAAATTTTCCATCGATGTGTGGAAGCAGAAAAAAAGTTGTATAAATTTTGAACCATTCGAAAATATTTCACTGCTTCTAAACAACATTCTGCTGCACAGTTGCCAACCAAGTTTAGCGAATGTCCTGAACAAGGAACATATTCAGCGTATGGGTTTACTTCCTTAATTCTTGCTTGTAGTCCTGTGTAAATGCCTGACATGTTTCTTGCGTTATCATAAGACTACAATCAGCTATGTCAATATCGTAAGCTGAAAGCCTGGTAAAAACTGCAGTTGCGAGCTCCTCGGCTTTGTGTCCCGGATTTTCGATGAAAGTTAAAAAACGTTCTACGGCAGAACCATCGTTTTTCACGTATCGTACGATAAATGTAAGTTGATCGACATGGGAAATATCTGGGGTGGAATCTACAATGTTGGAATAATATTTTGCTTCCTTTGTTTCCTTGACAATTGCAGTTGAAACTTTTTTCGCCATTAATTGAATAAGCTCTTCATAAATAGTTTTTGACAGATAGCTTGTACTACCGCTACCTTTATTACCGAATCTATTTATATGATTTGCTAAAAATGGATCAAATTCTGCTAATAATTCCAGGAGCATCATAAAATTTCCATTGTGCGTGGATCCAAATTTTTCATCATGTCCTCTGAAAGAAAGTCCTCGCGACGCTAATGATTTTACACACGACACAACTCTTCGCAAAACATTTTTCCAATAATTAACTTCTTCGTCAATTGCAGCAGATAATTTCTGGTCAATCCGACCTTGGTTCCTTGATCGTGCTCTTAAAAGTCTTTCACATTCTTTATGTTTATTGGAATTTTCGTGATCAGTAACTCTTTCAAATGAATGTTTGCAATCATTAAACCCTTCAGCATTTGAAAAAGAGGTCGTGTTGCCAAAAAGTAAACAGGGAGCACAGAAAAGTGTTTGCTTAACTGGAGAATAAATAAGCCAAGCACGAGGTTTTTTCTCCTTATTAGGTAGAGTCCTGACAAACAAGGCAGGAGATAAATACCTTGTTGCTCCGTTACTATAAATGCGCTTAGTTTGGGAAAAATCGGCATTTTGATTTTGACTGTATCCATATTTAGCCACATAATTACGCAAGGTTTCATCAATAATCCAGTTAGCTGGATCGGTGTCAAGTAAATAGGCAGGATCAGAATCTTTCTGAGGATTATCTGTATCTACACTTGCGTTTTTGATTGTTTGCGCATCATGTTGAAAATCTTGTGAACTCAGGTCATCTTCAACGTGATCGTCGGGTAAATTTGTTGTCGCTGAAAAGACGAATTATACGAGTAATAAATTAGAACTGAAAACTGTAGGTAAATATCGAAAAAACGTCTAATACTTATTATTTAGAAATGTAATATAAATTGTATAGATTACCATTTTTGTCAACGTCATCAGCTACCGAAATTTGTTTTTCTTCAACTTCAGTCTCTTCTGTAAGTTCTGTATGGCAGAGTTTCTCTTTTTCAGTTTTATTAAAAAAAGTCTCAAGCTTAGGCACGTTTAACAAAACTTTATTCTGTTTTTCCTGCTTTTCATGTTCCTTTTTCTTGTATGCAGCACCACTTAATTTACGCCGTTTTTCACTCATGTTGCCAAACTTCTGATGACAATATGTAACAAGTTAACTGTTTTTGTACAACCCTAGTCTTCAAATTGACTATCACAGCACACAGTACCGCAAGAACCAGAAAGAAGAAAGAACGTGAACCGAGCAACCGAAAGCACAGATGATGCTCATGCTACAGATCACCCCAACCCCGTTATCGGAGAAAGAGAAAGTTACCACATCTGCACATTCCACACCTACACCATCGCTTGACAAAATTGTAATAAGTAGACTAGCTGAGTAATCTTGCTTAGGTGGTCAATTGTTCCGTTATATGAGATCTTTAAAAGTTAATTATAATTTTTACGGGATATTTCAATTTTAAAATTTTATCCGCTTGCCGCCCCCTGTAAGGTGCCGCCCCGGGGCACATGCCCCTCGTGCCCCTTATGTAAATCCACCACTGATTATGGCTTTTAATAGGTATTGGTGGAAATCAACATTATTACGCGACGATTACTTTTTCGCCACGGCCAATAAAGCACTTTTTTTTCTACGAAAACTTTATTCACAAAACTGATAATAAATGTATAAGATAATATGAACACAATGTAAAATACGGCCGTCCGCGTCCGCGGCTCAGGGAAGAAGAAGGTAGGAGGGTGGTTCCGCCAGTGGGGGTGGTTCTCTAGTAGCGCCATCTAACAGCCTAGCGTTACAACATGTTATTAATTTAATATGTACTCAAACTTCTTATTGTCTATCTCTTTTTGATGAAATTATTTCTTAGACATAACTAATTTTGAAGTTTTATTATAAAAACGTCTGTATAGTACTATAATAAATCAAAGTTGCATTCATTTCATATATCTAATACTACTATATTGTTAACTGGCCTCACAGGCGCCCACAACACGAAAGCAACTTCAGAGCTTCCTGGGTCTGGCAAACTGGGTGCGCGAATACGTACCGCGATTCGCGGACTTGTCGGCCCCCATGACCGATTTGCTCAACAGTAAGAACCGCTTCCGGTGGACGGACGAGGCTCAACGAGCTTTCGACGACCTCAAACGCGAAATGGGCAAACCTCTCCACCTGCACCGGCCAGATTTCGCTAAGAGGTTCGTACTGCAAACAGACGCCAGCGGTGTCGGCATCGCCGCAGTTTTATACCAGGAAGACGGAAAGAGGCGTCTAGTGGTGTCATACGCTAGCGCTAAACTCAACCAAACCCAGCGCCGGTACCACGTGAACGGGCAGGAATGCCTGGCCATCGTCTGGGCGGTCCGGAAATACCGAGCTTACCTCGAAGACCGAGAGTTCACGCTGCGTACCGACAACAAGGCATTGCTTTGGCTAAACTCCGCCAAAGACATCAACGCCAAGCTGACGCGCTGGGCCCTCCTCCTGCAGAAATTCAAGTTCCGGGTGGAGCATTGTCCCGGAAAAGACAATCAGCTCCCGGACCTCCTGTCCAGAAATCCTGCGGGAGACGAGCTGACGGACGAGGTCGAGAGCATCGAGCGGATGCTTCTGCCGAGCCTGGGGGCGGCGGAAAACCGGCACGACGACCAGGCGTCCGCCACGACCACCACCCTGGCCGCCATCGAGGTGGTTACGTTCGCGGACGAAATCAGGGTGGCCCAACTGACGGATCCGGAATTTCCGGGAATGATTCGGCGACTGGAGGCCATCGCCGTGGAAGGACCCCAGGCACCCGGCGACGCCGCCTTCGCTCGAAATTATTACACCGAGGACGGCTTCCTGTGGCGTCGGGGCGACCCGCGTCGGCTGTGGGTTCCGACAGCAGCCCGTCCGAGGATGCTCCACGAATTCCACGACTCCCCGGAGGCGGGGCACCTTAGATCATATAATAAATAGATACCAATACTCAAACTGAAAGCTGTGACTAGACATGAAGCTATCTGTTGTCGTTTTCTACGTCAAAGGGAGTAGTATAATGCTATCCTTGTGTGATCACCACATCTTCATCTTTGTTATATGCATTTTATCTGTATATGTCTATTTCACTTCCATCCTTGTACCGCACCAGCGCAACAAATCGCTTTTGACAGATGTTTCTTCTAACCTCTCTTTCGAGTTGTTGTACAAAAAACAATTTTAGAATTTAGAACAAAGATCCTATTTTAAGTGATGTAGTCATAAAGGATCACAATTGCTGTCCAATAATTTACTATTCCTTTCGTTATCTACTGTGAATTATTTATAAAATCAAGCTGTCAACATCTTTCTTCCGAAGTTAGTTCAGACATACTTCCTAAAATTTAGGCGCGCAAAATTCAAATAGTGATCAGGCAAGGATAGCTTCATTGTAATCCCTCCATGCACGAGAGAGATGTATGACAGGAGGATGTCGTCACAGGCTGTCCTAGGGAAAGAACACGGCATGGTGGTATCTATTTATTATATGATCTAAGCGGGGCACCCAGGACGAGATGAGACCATCCGGGCTGTTGAAAGACATTACACCTGGTCCTCGCTAAGCACTGACGTGCAGAAATACGTCCGAGGCCACTACCAAACGAGATGGTGCACGACAACCTCGCGCACCCCTGCGGGATTACATCCCAAAAAAACCATGGCAGACCATCGCCGTCGACTACATGGGCCCGTACCACGAGACGCCTGCGGGGAACCGATACCTGCTGGTGGTCACAGACATTTTTTCGAAGTGGGTCGAAGCCTTCCCATTGCCTCGGGCTACCGCGAAGGCCTCGGTCCGCCTAATGGAGGAGGAGGTCTTCTGCAGGTGGGGGTACCCTAAGTCCGTCATCTCCGACAACAGGACCCAATTCACCTCCGAGGCATTTCAAAATGCCTGCAGGCGGTGGAAAACACGCCACTGGCGTACCGCCGTGTTCCACCAGCGAGCTAACCCGACTGAAAGGAAAAATCAGGACCTCAAAAAACTCATGAGGGTGCTCATCCAGGACTCCCCTGGCAGACCTTGGGACGAAACCATCCCCAAGGGTCTGTTCAATCTGCGCAGGCGACGTAACGCAGCGACAGGGCAGTCCCCCAGCGAGCTCCTGATGGGCTTCGAAATTACGCGGCCGGGACATTGGGACGCGGACGAGCGGTCGGGACATTGGGACGCGGACGAGCGCCCCGTCCAAACCACGGCTGAAGAGAGACAACGGTTCGCCCTCCAACAGATGGATGACTACAGGCAGCGTTACGACGGTGGCGACCGGCAACCCGCCACCTACGAAGTGGGTGACAAGGTATTGGTCCGCCGCCATGTACCACCTGGATTACGGACACGTTGGGTGGGTCCCCGGACTATCGCCGGCGTGGCGTGATCGATCACGGCACTCACACCTCCGTGGAGCACGTGGACCATCTTCGACCGGTCCTCCAGGTGCCTGAACATCGAAGGGCGACCACACAAACAGCGTCACTCCAAGGCAACCGCGCTAACCAGCGAAAGCAAACTAACGCACGACGGAGGCGGCGTAGACAGTAATATCTATCCCCCACGCCAGCGTGTCCCCAGACCGACCAGGGGCAGACGTTGACGAACCAGAGCTGGAGGAGACGCCGCACGGTCAAACAACGAACTCCGAGGGCGGCTCAGAGAGGACAACCGCGAAATTCAGGCCTTCGGTGAGGGGGAGTGTGTTGCCGGAGAGCGTGACAGAGGCCTGATTTCACAATTAATTAAGTTACTGTAGGACCTTATTTAAGTTTTTACGATAATTAATAAAGTAGTATTAGCGTAGAATAGGTTCGCGTGCTGCGGCGGCTGTTTCCGGTCTGGCCGCCCCGCCGACGGTGGTTATATTTAATACCTCGGTCGGGGCCCCGCCTACTGGTGCAGAATTGCGTGGCGTGTGCCGTCAGCTCGCGAAAAATAGGTTAATTAGGGTAAGGTAATTAGTTGGTAATATATTTAGTGCAGAGAATTAGTTTAGTGTCAATAGGCGATAAGCAAAGAACAATTATGCTCCGTTTTCTGTGACGGCTGGCGACAGCCAATCCGCTGCCCAGACGGTGTCCAGAAAACGGTAAAAAAATATAAAAGGCTGCTAAAAATCCCGCTCAGCATCACTCCTGCGGGACGGCCAGAGATGGTCGGAAGTTTCACGCCGGATGACGAATAACTCGGATTCAGCCGGTCGAGGTGAGCGACTTCAGAAGACTGGTAAGACTTCTGGACAGTCTGAAGGTGCAGTATCACACCTTCACGCTCCCGGAGGAGAAAACCCTTCGCGTCGTCACCCGCGGCATCGCCGTAGGTGTTGCCAGCCAGGAGGTGCTGGAAAACATGGAGTCTCTGGGTTTCCAACCAATCCAGGTTAGGCGGATGAACCGAAACGACCGGCCAAGGTCTTCGAGGTGAAGACACTTTGTGGCCTCTCCGTCAAGGTGGAGAAGCCCCACAAGAGGAAGGATGCTGCCCAGTGCCACCGCTGCCAGCGATTCCACCACTCTCAGCGGCACTGCAGGGCCGAACACCGCTGCGTCAAATGCGGCGTTGATCACCAGACCAGCGACTGCGAGAAGCAGCGCAGGCAGCCTGCGAAATACGCAAATTGTAGCGGGCCACACCCGGCCAGCTACAAGGGGTGTCCCAAGTTCCCCAAGCCACAGCAACAGAAGGCTTCCAAGCAGCCTTCCACATCGTCGAAGACGATCGCCCCCAGGACAGCCGCCCCCAAACGCGGTGCCCCCCCCAAGGCCACCCCAAAACCCAAACCCGCTCCCGTCCCCAAGAAGGTCGCCCTCACGGCTCGCCAACAGGTCGACCTCCAGCTCCAAAAAAGCCAGCTCATGACCGCCATCGCCGCCGCCAAGGACTCGCAGTCCATGGCGGAAAAAATGGCGGCATTCCTTCCCCTCCTTTTCAAAAATTAGATGGGTGGTACGCCACTAATTGTAAATTCCTTACAGATCGCCTTCTGAAATGCCAATGGACTCCGGAGCGGGCGTTATGAACTCGAAGAGTTCATGGAAGACCACCAGCTCGATGCCATCCTCGTCAACGAGACGAACCTCCTGTGAAATTCCCGAGATCGACC